ATCAGTCTCTTCAACAGTTTCCTTATTATATTGCTTCAACCAGCAGACTACTGCACTTGGGGACAAAGAACTGCTATGGCCCAACTTTTCACACCTGGGAGAGAAGTTCTGGCACTAAGCCCCTTAAGAAACGGTATAAATCTCAGATGTCCTAAGTGCCATCACCTTAGAAAATATTTGAGGTAGCAAAGGAGAATGTCAAAGAGCTTAAGACCATTTCTTCTGTCTGATGTTATGCTCAGCACAGGCCCATGAACTCTGCTCAGTCATTCTGGAGTACCATCGCCCAGGGCAGAGACAGCAATGAAACCATCACCAGCACCAGCAGTGGGCTTTGCAGCATCTCATGACAAGTGAGAGAGAAGCTCAGAGGAGCGAACAGAGGATAACCATTTTCAGAAACTAACAAGGGCTGGATTCAAATTGAAGGTCTACAGGTGAAAAGGGCTCATGAGCTCACACGTTCTCTCTCTGGAGGCTATTTGTCAAGTCCTGGAAAGGCAGGCAAGGGCAAAGCCCAGCTGTGCTAAGGACACAGCAATCTCACCCTGGAGTCATCGCTGCACCCCAGCTTACAAAAGAGCAGCCAGGTGCTGGAAACCCAAACCCCAGAATACCAGGAGTCACACACTCCTTGGTCACATATGCCAAATGCCCACCACTTGGCGTTCTGCAGCCTCCATGAGCCCAAAGATAGCTTTGGGTGCTGACTGCCCTTCCAGGTCCAATCCAATCAAAATTTCAATATTCAAATATTCAGGAAAAGGGCTGTTGGGCTTGATGTTACAGCTAAGCCCAGATCAGGACTCAGCCCGCCCCAGGCCAAAGGAGCAGACAAGTCATCTTCAGCATCAAGTGAAGATGAAACTCCATTCATGGAGCCCTGAACTGCTCCATCCATGGAGCCCTGAAAACATGTTCAACCCACCAAAAGGACACAATGTTCACAATGTGAAATCTAAATGTTAGTACAAGACATATTTCCCTCATCTGTAGTAGTCTTTCTCATCCTAGCATCTCAAAACATTTTAAATAATGCATTAAGCCTCCATTAGACAATGCAAGTTTGTTATTATCTACCCATATATGCACGGAAACCATGGCAGGGGGGTTTCACAACTTGCTCAGAACTACCTACTTACTTAGGAGCATAACTGAGAACATACCTCAGGTACCCAAACTCTTTGCCTTGTATTTTAAAGCCATGGTTTCCCTACCAGGCACTTATCCACATTTAAATGGGGGCAATTTCGATTTCTCACTCTGCCACCCCAAAGCTGGTCTTCTTGGATTATGATCTACCTCCCTACAAACACCGCACTCTGAAATCCTCCTTCAGTTGCTTGAGAGGCCAAAGGAGCTTCAGCAAGTCCCATTACACAGTGCAGGAGGATGGACCCTTTGCTTCCCTTTTATCTGTTTACACACCATGTCAAGGCCAATTAGTCTCATCCCCCGGGAACCACCTCAGCAGCTCCAAGCAGTCTTTGCAACATCCTGGACTTCCTCATGCCTCAGCTAACCCTAGCATCCCCAGCAGCCTTCAACTCAAGCCATCAAACCATCTCTCTGCCCTCCTTGACCTGGTGCCTTTGGCATTGCCAAAAAAGCCAGACCCACTCCTGTTCACAGGGTGGCAGCAGCCCCAGTCTTTCTGGGACATGCGTGACTTTCATTAAATAGCAAAAGGCTGGCAGCAAGGCCTGTATGTAATGAGATTGCTGTCTAAGGACTGAGATCAAGGCACAGCTGGGAGAGGGCATTCACTGGAGCAATGCATGTGTCTGCACGAGCCAGGGCATTTCAGACCAATTAAGGGAAAGAAAGGAAGAAGCCTTCTGAGCTAATTTTCTAGTCCTTTGGAGGGGCGAAGGAAAGAATGTATTGAATTCCTCTCGCTGAGCCTCAGTAGGGAAGAGGATAGGTGGCTGCCAATCAGCCAGCCAGGGTAGGAAATAAACCCACCAACTGTCCAAACTCATGGCTGTGGCACAAAAGTGCAACATCACAGTGCCCTGTGAAGCTGGAAAGGCATGGTCTGGCATCTAAACAGGGTAGAACTTTTAAATCTGCTCCTGTACAGCCTCTCCTGCTGAGGGAGGTTGAATTGAACAGCTCAGATGACACAGCCTTCCCTATTTATCAATAATCTAGAGAGGCAGAAACACAGCAGTTCCCTGCCCCCTTAAAGGCACTCATTTAACCCACTTATCTCTCCTAAATTTACTTCTCTCCCTAACCAAAAGACATCATATCACTAGAGCACAAGACGACATTTGGACACCACATGCTGCTGGACCATGGGCTTGCTGCAAAAACTCCCTTGTTCAACCCCAAAAACTGCTTAAAACTCCCAACCCAGATCCTCTCCACACCACAGCTCTTGGGACCCATTTTCCATCACTATCCAACATAGACAGGATCTGATGCAAAGGCAAAGCACTTTGCATCTCTTTACCCACTCCTGAGCAACCCATTCCACATCATGCGCCCAAAAGTACCTTCTTGGCTCAGGACATATTTGCTCACAGCTCAAACGAGACTTGCCTGATACTCTTTGTCATCTATTGTGAGCTCCACAGAACTGCAGGAATGGAATGTAAGGCTCAGGGACAAGAGTGGAAACTGCACCTTATGTTCAGAATAGTTTCCATATATCAAGTTTATCAGCTGTATTCTCACAGCCAAGTACATTATAATCAGGACAAGAAGCAAGAACAGCTTGACGTTCAAAGCTCAGGTTTGAGTAGCCTTAGAGTAGCCGGTTAATATTATCATTTCTCATTTCCGTAGTATTCATTACTAAAAAATACATGATGTCAACTGTTGCCCAGATATTTATAGCAAGAAGCAGTCCCCTTTGTTGGAGAATGCAGACAGATCAAGAAAGGAATGCCTTGGCCCCGTTTTATAGACGGGGAACAGAGGTACTGAACATAACTTGCCTAACTTCACGACAAAAGGATTCTGTGGCAGAACTCAAAACTGAGCCCAGACCACTGTCATAAGAAACAAGATCATTGATTATTTCTGTCATGATTTTTGTAACAGAAATAAGTATAGGTAGCAAGAAAAACCATGCAGGGAACGAGACTTTCTAGATCAAGCTAGAACTAATCACAAAGCCTTAAGCTTTTATTGGTTGAAAATTAGCCAGAAAAAAAATTCCTTGTTACAGAATTCAGGCTGCATCCCATTCTGTGTGTGTGTGTATCGGGGAAAGGGGCGGAGGGGCAAAAAAAGGTACATACTTATAAATCAAAACCATCAGCTAAATATCCTTTCTTTAAAGCTGGGATTCCAAAAACTAGAAGTGTTAATGACATTTACAATAAAAACATTATTTAAAAAAAAAAAAAGATCAGATGTCAACAGTTCTTGCAAGACTCATTGCCACAATTAACACAGAAGCGCAGTGAGCAGAAGGACCAGGAAGCAAACCATTTTCATAAGGTTTCCCAGAAAAAACACAACAGTTTGGAAAGCTTATGCAAATTAGCCTCTAACCTGCTATAAGTTTGTCCTTTGCCAGTACACTCCCAAACACAATGCTGAAGGTCCCCTTAAGGCAGAGTAGGCAGATGCTAACCTAGAATCTGAATCGGAGAATGTACCTGGACTGAAAAGTAAATTTCTCCAAGTACTTACACATACACTCAAAAAAAAAAAAAAAAGAGCAAGGCACAGGCTCTTCAGCTTTTTTTTTCTCCTCTCATTATGATGTGAGACTAATTTTAAAAGTCTGTTAGGATCAGCAGAAGATTTGGGTGATGTGAAATGCAGGACTGGGCCTTTTGAATGTTCTCTGAGCAGAGACTTGGCAAGAAGGGAAAGGAGGGGGTGAGGAGAACTGTACTGAAACCACAAGACTCTGCATTATGCATTCATGGGATATATGCTGTCAACAGGATTGAGAACAGGCAGCTACGTAATGGGGAAATGGAGGGGGCTCGCTTTTATAGATCTTGGAAAATAAATACATAGTCCTTTCTTTTAGTGGGACTGTCTCACAAGCTTAAAGGGGATGTTAATGAGGTTAAATTTGGTACATCCAGCCAAACAGAGCCGGAGAAATTCTTCCCAAACGAGAGGAAATCAGAATTAAGAATAATCATCTTTAACAGACTGCAGTTTACCAGAGTCAGCAGATGTCTGCAGATACTCTTTCAAACTGACACTATACCAGTGCAAGATAAAAGACAAATAATAAAGAACTGAAATATTAACTCTGCAGCAACACCTTCTGAAAGAGAGGTGCTAGGTGTACAGCCCAGCCCACCAGCACCAGGCAGGCCACCACTCTATTCCTTACCACATTTCCCTGCCTCCAAGCATTTCCCAAACTCCAAGTGTTTACAGAGCTCAATTCAAGCTCTCTCCAAAAATTCTGCAAAATCAGGAATAAGTGCATCTAGAGCAAACTGTAAACAGTTTTTAGTTGTAAACTGGTAAGAAAAACAACATACAGTGTTTTGCACTGCTTTAAAATCCCCAGGAGTAAAAAAGCGACCCAGTCCCAAGGAGGTCAAGAAATGTGGAGTGATATCCATCATCATCACATCTAGGACTACTTTCATCACTCAGATACTTCATTATATAGCCATGAGCAACCATTTCTTTCAGACTGAATGCTATGGGTCAGCTCATGGCAAAAGGGGCAACTCCACTGCAGCAAACTCCAGGGATTTTGTTCCTATGTCACGTGATAAACTGGTCAGTATGGATGCTGCCTTCTAAACAGGTAGAAAGAGAACAGCCCATCTCTGGCAAGAAACACTCAACTAGCAGAGGCTTCATCTCTGAAGAGAAGTCCTCCCTAAACTTAGGCCTAATTTATCCTAGACAGACAGAAGTACTGATTATTGCTCTGAAGAGGTGATCACAAGAAGCAGCAACATTATGAATTGTCTGAACCTTGCCTCAATAAGTCTTTTTCCCTTTTGCTCAACAACACTTGCTCTCAAGTGATGCTGCTTTCCTTGTAAGAAATTCCGCCTTACCTGCTGCATTTTTTCCAGGTCCAGGCTGGGCCTGCTGACCTTATCCCCATATCCTTGTCGATGTCTCTTACAAGGCATGACTTGCTCAAAGCCTGCCCCAACGCTTGTGAAGATTAAAGGTCTGGAGGCTGGGTTCCGCACCAGGGGCTGCAGTCTCTTAGGAGGGGAGGCACTGAACAGCACGGGGCTCGGGCTCGCGTGTAAGCTATCGGCCTGTTCTGCTACAGGCCGGAAGGACATGGCACACAAGTTCTTCACTTCTTCATCACTGGAGGATGTGTTGTTGCTGTCACTGCAGCAGGTAAGCCTGCTGACCTGGGACCACTTTCGTTTCTCAGCAGCGAATTCTCGATTGATACGCTCCAGCTCCTCTTCCGAGCTGTGGCGATCCAGGCTGGCATGGAAAAGGGCCCGAACCTTGCAGCATTGATTCTCCTGATTCTGAAGCTGGTTGGTGGCCAGAGGGGTTAAGGTACAATTCCGTCTTCTCTCTGGTGGGAAAAAGAAATAGCAGAGCTGCATCCACATCCTATCAAACTGGGCCTGCTCTCCTGACCGACCTTCTTTATTTCTTCCCAAGTAAACTTCTGAACTGTTTCCCTCCTTTTCTTCCCCAGAAG